TTCCTATGTATATTGGGAAAATACAGCTTCATCACAGTCAGTGGTTCTGAATTCATTGTCTGAGGTCCTCAATATGTTGAATTCTCAATGTAGTCTTCTCAGGACAGTCTAACCCTATGCAGACTCTCTCCTTTCCATCCTGCCTCTTTTGCTCACAAAACTTGGATAAGCCTAAAAGAGAGAATGATGCTGCTCTGTGCACATCAGCTGGATCCAGACAACAAGTTAAAGCAAAGGAAGGAGTAGAGACCCAGGAACACACATACTGATTAGCAAGGTATCATTTCCAGAGAAATATTTTAGGCACAAGCTAGCACAATCACAGCAGGCAGGAAGGCARCCTAGGAAAGAAGATGTCTAGGAACACAAGCATAACAGTGAGTRAAAAATTAGGCAAAATTCAGCAAAGTAGTTACATACATTAATCTATGTGCAAGAAATACTATCAAGGGAAAACAGAAGATGAGCAAAATTTCTGCCAACCTCCTCTCTTTCCTGCTTTTCCACAATCTTTAGAGGCAATACAGTGGGTCTCATTTCAAGGGTGTGGTAGAGCCTTTTCAAGTTGACTGCTAATACCGTTTGTTCTGATGCAGTGTGATACCTCATAGAAGTAATCTGATTTTTTTTCCCTTCAGGTATAACCATCAAAATTCCTTTGATGTTCCCTGAAGAATAAGGGTGTTTTGTGCTTTCCTGAGATGTCCCTCAGCAGAGTAGGTCTGAGAYGGTGATAGGACATTAATTAACATGGTGGCTGGTACCCAGGTGACCAAATCCCTGCAGAAATGTAGATCCATTTTGAGTCTGAGAGACAGAAACACAAAATTTTACAAGGGAAATCAAGACCTATAATCTGTGAAAGTAGATTGTGTGGAGCTACTGTCATACTCCCTACCTTGTCTTTCTAATTTGAACGTCAATGATAGATTTAAAATCTTAAGATAGTTACCTTAGATTCCCTTAGGTCAGTAGAGTTTAAGACATCATTCAACTTTCCACAAAATGAATTTCTAAAGTATGTGAGAGGAACTGATTCCTCCCCTCTAATTTCAGAGGAAGACTTGAGATGCCAGACATCTAGGCATCTTCACTGCAGACCTCTAGGTGCTTTTCTTGGTCATATATTAGTGTCTACGAGCTGCCTCACTATATTCTATGCCTCCAAAAGGAAGAATGCATCTGCRGGTCCAGTGTTATAACTGCCAACATAATGCAAACCTCTCTTACCATCTTAATGCATCTAAGATAGGGCTAGGCATCTCTGTTTTCACCTCTGAACYGTTCCCCTGAAATTCAGTGAGAAGAATCTCATCTTTGATGGCACTGTGAATTAGGCTTCCCCTTCACCTTAGTTCAGGTGGGCTCTTAATCCACCTCCCACTCCAATTTCTTTGTATTCAATGTGGACAGCCCAGTCCTGTTCTTGTCTAAACTGGGCTCTAGATTACTTCTCGTTTCTTTGTTTTCAGGTACATCCAGAGGGTGTAGAGTAGTTGCTGACATAGCCCCATGTTCCCTCAACTTTGACCACRGCACTTTGCTTGCAAAGGGTTTGCRTGAAGGAACTCTGAAGAGTGCTTCCACCTCCTGCACACTCTTTATGTCTGATTTTTGTCAGGAGCTCCTTGCTCCTGATCCATCTTGATTTTCAACATAGATCATTCTTGAAGTTGGGGGAGCTGATCCTTGAAAGTCGACCAGTTCTCTTGGGACCCTCTTCCCCACTCTTCCCTCCAGGGCTGTATTGCTTGGGAGTCTACTAGAGCAGATCCCTGAAGCAGCTTTGGGGCAAGCAGGCCACTCAGTCTGGGAAATGATCTCCAGTTTGACCTTTAGCAGCACCACGAGAAACACATGGGCCTCCGCATAACGCACAATATTGGCTATTGCCTTGTGCATACATCATGGGGCACATGCAGGGTCTTTCACTGTGCCAGTCTGGCATCACACAGGACCAGCAGATGACCAGCAAATATGAGATCTTGGTGCTCTCCCACACCGTGGGCTCTTTCGGGCAAGTGAGGACATCAGCTTCCCATGGAGCTGCTTCTAGACTACCACAAGGATAAGCAGCAGCGGTGGGGCTGGAGGGGGTCCCCTCTTCTACTCCCATGCAGGTCTGAGGTYCATCTCTCTCCCCAACATCTAAGGACTCACAGTTTGGGATGGGGAGGGTCTGTTCTCCCTCAGATGGGTGCAGAATCTTTTCTGTCCCACCTACATGGCCCTCCTCACCCCATGGCACTGAGGCCACACCACCTGCAGCACCTTGCTGGCCTGCTGTAGCAGGTCCCATTATTGGTTCTTTGAGGGGTCCAGCCCTATAATTCCTTCAAAGCTTCTTCAGTACTAGAGCTCTTCAGGTCCAACCGGCCCCAGCTTCTCAAAGGCCAGGCCTGAGGCCTGAAGAGTTCCCCAGTATAAGAGAAGCAAGACTCTTGCATGTTTGCCTGTGCCACATCCCCTCACTGCTGCCACTGTGCAGTGGAGCCCAGAGGAAGTATGTCCTCCAAGATGCCCTTTTTGCACATCTCACCCTAACACACATCTGAGTCTGTCTGAAGCTTATGGAGGTGCATTGCCTTCCCAAGAGCCTTGTGCTTCCCTTGCATCTGTTTGTCCTTGCATGAAGTGTCAGAGGCCAACCTGAACCATTTCTGGCATGGGAATGTCTATGACCAGGTGGTTTTTTCCAGTTGTACCTTTGTAGTACTCTCCATCCTCTGGGCCTCAGGATAGCTGTACACAGCAGGAACTGCCAAAACAATGGTTTTGGTTTTTTTGAAGATGGTACTTCTGAGTGTTTTTTTTTCTCTCTTGATTAGGTAAAGGACTCATAAATCAGGAATACATCTGTTTTTTGGTTTCATACACTGCCTTTCTAAAAGTAGGATAGACTTGTACTAACTGTAGTTCAGCATACCATAGTAATCACTTAATGTTTCATTTTTTATTTCCTTTTCATTGAAAAGTGTGTACTCACTATTATATAGCTCATTTACAAATACTTTGGAGGAAAAAAAAAGCTTGTTCTTTTTGTCTGTTTCATTTCTGAATTATATTTGAAAAAAATAGACACAGTGAATTGATATTTCGCTTCTTTGCAGCTTTTGGAGTAGAACTGAAGCGCAGAAGTAGATTAATACAAACATGAACAGATTGTGGTAGATTAAAACAAACATGAAGAATGGAAAGTCATTAAACAAAATASTACTTGTTAATGAAAATTGCAAAACAAAAATCAGGGCTATCTGGAGCTACCTGATAAACAGCCCTGACTCTGAACTAGTTTGACCAGAGTGGGACAAGAAATATGCAGCTCATTTGATCATACTTTTGTCTGAGTTACTTCCATGGTCATGGAGATGCTGAAGGAGCTCCCGGCGAAACTCGGAAGAAGGAAGTGCACAGAATATGGAAAAGATGGCAGGTCCCTTGGGAGGAATACAGGAATGTTGTCACTGTAGGCAGGGATGCGACAAGGAAGGCYAAGAAGCATTTGGAATTAAATGTGGCAAGGCATGTCAAGGGCAACAAGAGGGGCTTCTTCACATATATCAATAGCAAAAGGAAGACTAGGGAAAATGTGGACCTGCTACTGAATGGGATGGGTGCCCTTGTTATAAAAGACACAGAAAAAGAAGTTACTGACTGCCTTCTTTTTTTCAGGCTTTACTAAGGCCAACCTTCTGGAATCCCAAATCTTAGAGACAAGAGAGAAAGTCTAGAGGAAGGAAGACTTGCCCTTGGTTGAGGAAGATCAGGTTAAACATCACTTAGACAAACTCRACATTCATATCTACGGGCCCCAGGATGCACCCAAGAGTGCTGGAGGACCTGGCAGGTGCTATTTCCTAGACACTCTTCATCATCTTYGAAAGGTCATGGAGATCAGGAGAGCTGGAGGACTGGAAGAAAGCCAATAGCACACCAGTCTTCAGAAAGGGCAAGAAGGAGGACCAAGGCAACTACAGGCCAGTCAGTCTCACCTCCATCCTAGGAAAGCTGATGGAACAGCTCATCCTGGATGCCGTCTCTAAGMATATGAAGGACAAGAAGGCGTTCAAGAGTAGTCACCATTGTTTCACCAAGGGGAAATCATGCTTAACCAACCTGATAGCCTTCTATGACAGCATGACTGTTTGGGTAGATGAAGGGAGAGCAGTGGATGTTGTCTACCTTGATTTTTATACTGTCTCCATCATAGGAAAGCTCAGGAAGTATGAGTTTGATGAGTGGACAGTGAGGTGGATTGAGAACTAACTAAATTGCAGAGCTCAAAGGGTTGTGATCAGCAGCACAGAGTCTAGGCATAGGCCTGTGCTTAGCCATGTCCCCCAGGGTCAGTACTGGGTTCAATCCTGTTCAACTTCTTCAATGACGTGGATGAAGGGACAGAGAGCACACTCCACCAGTTTGCTGATGATACAGAACTGGGARGAACAACTGACACATTGGAGGGCTGAGCCCTCCAATTCAGAGCGACCTGCACAGGCTGGAGACATGGGCTGTCACTAGCCATAGGGCTGGGCACACAGGACACAGTATGTAGCACAGTCTCCAGCAGGTATCTCTTGAACACTTGCTCTCTCCATGAGCACTGGATCCTTAAAAAGTGACTGCTGAATCTAGCCTCCGTTCCCTATTGGATCTACAAGTGTATCTCCCTTAGCCTTTGGAGTACCCAAGCATGCAAGCAATAGCACCTGTCTAATCCCCTGGAGCAATTTGGCCTCCAGTTTGAGAAGAAAAGTCCAACCTTCAGGCACTTGTAGTGAGAAAACATCTTTTTATTAGAGAGATGGTACTTGGGAGGTTGCTCTAACACAGTGACAGGCAGACTTAGAGAAGGCCTCAGGTCAATGGGCTTTGTGCCACTGAAGAAATGACATAAATCCAAAAATTTTTGTACAAACATGATCATCGGAGATGGAATATGAAAAACCGAGAATGTCCTTAGATAAACTGGAAATCACTTGTAAGAAGATGTGTGCAGCTTATTGCTGCTGAAATAGTATGGATAGAATCAGTTTCTGCAGTGCATCCTTGAGCTCCTTGTTCCTCACGCTGTAGACGAGGGGGTTCACCGCTGGAGGCACCACTGCATATAGAACAGCCACCACTAGATCCAGGCATGGGGAGGAGATGGAGGGAGGCTTCAAGTAGGCAAAAGTGCCAGTGCTGATGAGCAGGGAGACGACAATCAGGTGAGGGAGGCACATGGAAAAGGCTTTGCGACGTCCCTGCTGAGAGGGGATCCTCAGCACAGCTCTGAAGATCTGCACATAGGACAGCACAATGTAAACGAAACACACAAAGCCCAAGCAGATATTAACCACAATAGTCCCAACCTCCCTAAGGTAGGAGAAGCCTGAACAGCAAAGCTTGAGGATCTGGGGGATTTCACAGAAAAACTGCTTCACGACGTTGCCCTGGCAGAGTGGTATCGAAAATGTGTTGGCAGTGTGTAGGGCAGCATGAAGAAAACCAGTGCCCCAGGCAGCTGCTGCCATTTTGACACAAGAGGGTCTGCAGATGGCAACAAAACGGTCATAGGCCATGAGAGTGAGAATATAATACTCTGCTGTTATCAGGAAGACAAACATAAAGTCCTGGGCAGCACATCCTGAGTAAGAAATTATCCTGGTGTCCCAGAGGAAATTGGCCATGGATTTGGGGACAGTGGCGGAGACGGAGCCAAGGTCCGGGAGAGAGAGGTTAAGGAGGAAGAAGTGCATTGGGGTGTGGAGGTGGTGGTCGCAGGCTACAGTTGTGATGATGAGGATGTTTCCCAAGAGGGCAGTCAGGTAGATGGCCAGCAAAAGCAGGAAGTGCAAAAGCTGCAGCTCCCATGTGTCTGAAAATGGCATGAGAAGGAAGTCATTGAGAGCACTGCTGTTGGACATTTGCCTCATCTGGTCTTGGAGGACTGTTGAAGGAGGAATAGACATTGACAGGTTAGAACAGGCTTCTCTGAGTCAGATACACTTCATTTCTCACAGCAACGCCCACATTTCCTCTCTTTTATCTTATGCATCTCCCTATCTGGGTCTCTGCTTTGCTCTGAGCAAGGAGGCCATGCTTAGCAGGAGTCAGTTCTGCTCTGCTGGGGGTGAATGGAAGTGTCAATCAGTCCCAAGTATTCAGAGGCATAYCTGGGGGTGGCACTGTGAGCTTAGCAATGGGGACTTGCTGCAATGACCCATCCATAAGGAGAGACAAATACAGCACTCATGCTAGCTGTCCCCTGAAAGAGAAGATCTTTATGAGGGAGTCATCTCCCTCAACATCGCCCTATTGAGTAGAGGTGTCTGCATGTGAATCAGTCTATTCTGAGCAAGATAGAAAAATATTGAAGTGAAGACAAAGGGTGACTAAGTCTCTTCTAGATGTCTTCATTCCAGTGAGACAGACCTTTTCCTCACAACAATTTACTGTCTTACTCCACTCTAGTRGAGTAGAAGTGGTCTTGGACAATATCCACCTCTCATGTAGAATACTGATTCAAAATTTTGACACATTCTACAGAAAATGACCTTCAGAGGGATCTGTTCATGTATTTATTTAATTCTGTGGGCTTCCACCCTCCCATGGGAGCATCCTCTGATGCCCTACAGAGACCTCCTGGGTCAGGACACTGTTTGGAGAACCTGTGAAAGCTCCTTCTCTTTCAAACAGCTTTTATTTTTTCCATCATCCTCTGAAAAGATTCCTGGGAACTGCCACGTACATGAGCTAGAGTCGAGAGCAGTCCTAGCCTAGGTTAGGGCTGGGTAAAGTCACGTCAAAACATGTCTCCACTGTCCCTAGGAGAAGACAGCAGGACTTCACATCCCTATGATGATGTGGCAAGAGATTCCTACTCTGAGCATCTGCCTCTCTTCTGCCTCTCTTCTGCCACTGAGGCCTACCAGAACATGCCATATCCTTACAGAACTGAGGCCTTGCTGCTTCTCCTCCTTGCTCATCTCCAGAGAGGCCAGGAGTATGCTGTAATCCTGCACTTGGGATTGCACACCCCTACCTCACATTGCCCCCAGGAAGAGCCCTGGACTAAGTGTGAGGGAAAGGATCATCCTACTCAGAGACAAGCTGTCAGTGCTTGACAGATCTGCTTGATTAACTCACCAAGTTTTCCTTGTCATCACACACACCTGCACATTGCCTTTGCCTACCTGCAATCAGCACCTCCAGCTTCCCACTCTAATCAGACCCTGGAGAAGCTCTGTTGGTAATGGCCCTCAGTGGGACTCATTAATACTTCAAGAAACTTGGAGATTCAATTCTGATTTTAACTTCTTAAGAAGTTTGTTCARTCTCTCCGTAACTGAAGTTCATAGACTCAGCAACAAATACATCAGAGGGATCATTAGAAAGCCAGAAGCCTTAACAACCCATGCTTCTCCCACAGAATTTTCTTCAGTTCTTCTGTGGCTAATTTGAGAGGTCTCCAGAGTGTATTTGAAAGATTTCATTGAGCATGTATAAAAATTAGTATTTCAGCTTCCTAAGTTTCCTTTATTTTTCAGCTTACAGAAGAAGTGACATCAATACTCTCCCATTCATATTGTTCTAGAGTGTCTCCAAAGAAATCTTGATGTGTAGGAAAAGCAGTATTTTTGCTCTGAGTTATGTTTGGACAACCTTGCTCCTCACCTCCCCAACTACACAGTTTCCCTTATCAGCCACTGGGGATTTACATCACTCTTATTAAAATCTAACCCTTTTTTTTCCCACTTGAGTCTCTATCTGAATGTTACAGCTCATACGAGCCAACTGCCTTCTGATTTCTTCGAGGAATTAGCTGCCGATTGGCACAGAAGGATTTTTATCAATTATGATCAAACACAAATAAAGCAAGACAGAGTAATTCAAATAAATTACAGTTGTATTATATGTACAGTTATTAATCCCATATTTCCTAYCATCATTCAGAATGGAAACATTTTCTTCTGAGGAGCTACTATATTTAAAATCATTTATTCATTCTCTATTCATCCTCTCTATGAATGGAGACCTCTGGACATCACCTAGTCCAACTTCCTTCTCAAAGCAGAAGAAACTGGATAAGACTGCTTGAGGAATCACCCAATTACAAGTTATCCAGAAACATGCTCAGAGTGTGGCCCATCCCAAGGTCCAGGCCGTCAAAACAGTGTTGCACGGAACAGATATTCCTTCTTATCCTTACTAAAAGCTGTTGATTGGCACGTCGCCTGCTCCAAGGCAAAGGTCTGTGCACACCAGCCACATAATTCCACAAAGCCCTCCTCCACTTCCTTGTTGTCCTAGCCTGCCTTCCTCAAGAGCCCAGTTTCATCCTGCTTCATGACTTGACCCGTTATATTTGTACAATCCCACTGGTGGAAAAAGAAGGARATGTGTCTAACAGGAATGTGGCTTAGACATTGAATGTGGGATCAATCAGAAATAGGAACCCAGAGGATGACAGGGGAAGAGACAGACTAAGGGGACACATCTACAATGCTGATGGTGAGATCACTTCTTTTAGGGTGAATAGCCAGTAGCAGGAAGGAGTCCATTTGAGGTSAAGAAGTACAACACAGTTCAATGACTCAGACATGAGATACGGATGGAGAGAGAACATGTGGTGAGGTAAGCAAGAGGAATAGGGCTAAAATGTTGACTGGGAGTCACTTCCTCTGCAGCAAACACACTAGTCCTCATGAGATGCACGGGCAAGCAGGCAATGTAATGTCATCCAACATCTGAGCCCCATTAAGCAGAAATGGCATTCCTGGAGATGAGAGGGCTGACACAAGTGACAGGGGCCCAGCTAGGTGTGGACTGTGAGAGCAGGTGTCTGCCAGGCACCCCACCAACCTGTTACTAAAATGGCTGATGGCCACCCTACAAAGTAGTAGTTGCTCAGGAGTGACCCTACACTGAACAACACACAGGTCCTTAACTCAATTTGCTCTAAGACCAGTGTGAAACTCTTGGAGACCAGAAATGACACAGGGATGCTCCAGACCCTTCCTTGCCAGCTCAAGATTGCCGAAGAAATGCTGGAGGTATCTAAATTAGCTGTAGGGCTTTTGATAGTCCAAAGTCAAGGAAGCGCTGCAGGTTTTGAAGTCATGGAAGGAATGACTTGGAAGAAAGAACCCATGTTAGGGAGGTCAAGCATGTCAGGTAATGAGGAAGACACTAGAGCAGAGACTAGGAGAGAATATCCAGCAGGCCTCTACCCTAAGATTAAAAACCAACCTCCCACAGAATCACAGAATGACTATCTAGCCCAACCTCCCCGCACAAGAAGGATCACCTAGAGCACATTGTACAGGATCATATCCAGGCTGGCTTTGAATGTAAGGATTTTATTATAAACTTCTTGTTTTTTACTAAATACACAAGTGCAATTCACTGAGATTTTGAAGTCGCTGATATGTATATCAGCTGTTTCAGCACTTCATTTACTCCGATTTGCAGCAAGAAAAAATACTTTTATTAATGATAATGTACTGGAACTTCACAAAATTGCAGAATGCAAGAAATCTAGTATTACAACAATATAGAAAAGGGATGACGTTTATGTCATGAGGAGACTCCACAGAATCTCTARGCAACCTRTTCCAGCGCTCTGTCACCCTCACAGTCAAGATCTTTTTCCCTCAAATTCAGGTGGATCTTACTTGCTTCATCTTGTGACCATTGCCTCTGTCCTGTCACTGGCCACCACTGAAAATAGTCTGGCCCCATTGTCTCGACACCCTCCTTTTAGGTATTTGTACATATTGATAAGATCTCCTCTCAGCCTTCTCTTCTCTTCTTTAGGGTGACCAGGACAAGCTCTCAGCCTCTTCTCATAGTGGAAATGCTCCAGTTCCATAGTAATCTTTCTAACCGTACACTGGACTCTTTCCAGCAGTTCCATGTCTTGCTTGTACTGAGGAGCTCTAACTGGACACAGTACTCCAGATGTGGGCTCACAAGGGCTAAATAAAAAGCCCTTGTTCACCTACAGTAGTGGGCTAAAAACAACCCTCCTCATGTACCCAAGGTAAATATTTGCCTTCTTGGCCACAGGGGCACATTGCCCCCACCCAAACCTAACTCCCTAGGCCACAAACCTAGGCCATTCCCTAAATACAGAGCCCTAAACACAGAACTCAGGAGAAACACAGAGCTCAACACACAACCACCACCCAAAAGGTTTCCCCAGTCCCAGCAACAACAAAGCTCAWAACACCCGCTGAACCCTGAAGCTTAAACCCTATGTTGCTTCTCCAGTTAGTAGGAATTAAAGTTTGATCATTGTATTGTTTAATTACCATAAAATCATACAATCACTATGGTTGGAAAAGACCTTCAAGATTATCAAGTTCAACCGTAAATCTTCAATGCCACGCCTGTTAAACCATGTCCCTAAGTGCTTCTTCTGTTCATTCCTTGAACACTGCCAGGGATGGTGATTCCATCACTTTTCTGGGCAGCCTGTTCCAATGCTTCACCACTCTTTCCATGTAGATTTTTTTTCTAATATCTGAATATTAATCTGAAGCTCCTCTGGCACAACTTGAGRTCACTTCCTCTTGTCCTATCAGTAGTTATTTTGGAGATCGACCACTGCCCCACGAAAACTTCCTTTCAGGTAGCTGTAGAAAGCAATAAGGTCTCCTCTAAGCCTCTTCTTTGGCAGACTACATAATTCCAGCTCCGTCAGCTGCTCCTCCTATGGTCTGTGCTCTAGCCCCTTCACCAGCTTCATTGTTCTTATTTGGACATACTGCAGCATCTCAATGACTTTCTTGTGGTGAGGGGCCCAAAACTGAACACAGTTAATGGTTGTGTTTAGGTATTAAGAGTGTTGTTAGTTAGCACACAGCTTGAAATGGGATGGTAGGAACAGAAACCGGAGCAGAGCTAAGGCATATGTACTTGCACATGCAATGCAAGGATGGCAGTCAGAAAAAATGAGGGTGGCGAATCAAGTGCACTTGGATAAGATAATTGAAGATGTAATATGTTTAGATAAGAAGCCAGAAAGTGTCTGGATACCTGTCTAATTGTACTTCTGTATTTTATGAAGAGCTACAAAATAAATATGATGCAAGTTCCTTTGATCTTGATATAAAAAGATCCTCCTGTGGTACCTCTGTGTCCCTCCAAATGAGGAGGCACTCAGCTATAGCTGAACAAATGAGCTTGGACAAGATGTTGGTTCTGCTTCTCAAAACTCTCAGAGACTCGTGAGTAAATCATTTTTGTAACACAAAGACCCTGACCGTCTGGGGGACACCAGATTTTTCCCAACTTTTTGGTGTCAAAGTAACCATCTATCAGCATGGAGTAGTGGGGTTCAGCTTGAGCAACTTAAGATCTTGCAAAAAGCTCCCAGGACAAATATTGTGGCTTGTGACCTAACGCTCAAAACTGCTGAGTGACACCTGGGATGAGGTGGAAGACTCTCAGATTGATGTTGCTTCAGTAAAGATAGTAAGACCACTGCACCTAACACCTCTGCTCTCCGCTTTCCCACTCTATTAAGGGCCAATGACACACAGTAGACTTAGTTCCACCTCACCAAGAGCATCAATGTGGCATTCAGGATCCTCTATTCTGAGGACAAGAATTCCTAACTACCAGACAGGTTGACAGGTCTGGACCTCTCCTACCTCCACAAACAATGTCACCGCCTCTGACTCCATTGGATGTCACCCAGGAAAGTATTATGAATAAAAAGCACTGAACTATTAACTCAATCTTGATTTTTGCAGTAAGTGCAATTCCTAATCTATTCTACCTGTCACCTTAATAAATCACCTATGTCTCCAGCTTTGGTGAAACTGTCTCAGTCWATGTGCCTGAGAGGGTTCTGACAGGTAAGCATTGATGCTGAGGAGTGGCTGCACATGATCCTTTAGACAGAAGCCATTGACCAAGCCTGGGACTAACTGAACGTTGCTGCACTCGGACTCGTCTCGGAGAATGATCTTAGGAAGCAGGGGCTGCTTTCTGATCCTCATGACTCAACAGGATGGCATTTTCCCTTTTTGCCACACTCACACACATAACGCAACATCCTCTACGAGTCTTGTAAGCCTCACCCTGAGGCATTGGGGGCTAGGGAGGCAGAGGGAGGGCAGGACCTGTGTTTCATCTTGGAATGCAAGTGCATGGAGCTGAAAGGAGAGGGCAGAGGCAAGTGTGTAGGACTATGCTTGGGTGCGGATGAGGCAGTCCTCTGTGTCCCCCTCACCTGGGCAGCCAGAAGCTAGAGCGATGTGTGTGAGCACCTGAAGGACACAGAGGTCTCATCCAAGAGACAAAACCTGTGTTGGGACAGTCAGGGTGCTTCAAGTAATGGGGATGCCATTGGGAAGTGGACTTTTCTATGTCCATGTTAAAAGAAAAKAAATGTTCCCATTCATGTCACATCTCCAGGAATCTTTCATTTGAATCTAACCCAGAGATCCTACTGAAGGAGGAAGCCTGGCTCCCCTCTGCTTCAGCAGTGATGGAGGAACCTCCCTGTCCACTGGTCTGAGCTCCCTCAGATGCTCTCAGTGTAATGAGAAGCATTTTCCTTTGCTGTGTCTCTTCCAGAAACTGGCACCCAAGGGAGTTCAGGGAGATAGAGTTAGGCTCACATGACGGCTGACAGGAGGAAGCAATGGGTCCCATGTCCATTGGGAGAGCTCAGATCCTCAGACCACAGTTAGTGTTGGTCCTTCCCTCTACCATGCTCCAAAGCAGAGCAGGATGGGTGAAGAGGAGCATCTGGGTGCAGGCTGCAGGAACAGACTCTGTGGTCTTCAAGACCACCCCCACACTACCAGAGGAAGCATCTCCTTGTTACAGCCTTTCCAAGCAACATGGTCAACAACAGTAGCAGGACTTCCTTTTCTCCAGACTGTTCTCATTTCCGCACTGTCCCTCGGCACTCTGATGTGGGAGCTCCTGTGATGGGAAGCAYAGCACTGCCATGGGAAACTCAGACTAGTGATGGAGTGGGCAGGCCAAGACCTTGTTGGGGAAGCTCACACCCTTGACCTTTATGGCCAGCAGACCACTTWCCCTCAACAGCCAGTTGATTTGCTGTGCCATCAAGTTGTCATCAATGCACTGAAGAAACCTCACGGATTGCTTATGCCCTACAGATACTACAGTGGTTCACGTCTCCTGCACAAGGATCCAGGTCTGCAAACATGACATCTCATACACTTGTCCTCTAAAGTGACAAAGGAGCTATGAACTGACCTCAAAACGAAAGTCCAAGCCTTGTGCCTGTTGCAAGGGAAAAAGAAAGGGGAAAAGACTGAGCATTGAGCCAGAAATCCTTCTGAAAGGATAAGGGCAGCAAGGGGAAAACTGTAATGTTAAAAAAAAAAAAAAGGAAAATGCAGTGATATTCAAGAGCCCAATACTATCCCTGCAGATTTCTGAAGAGAAAAAAAAATCTCAATAAGTAAAAAAGTAAAACTCGTAATCACATGTGAAAGTGCAATGGCATTGATGTGCATGAATGTGAGCAGCAGCAGGATGGTGTGATGGTGTGGATGCAGCATGGCTAAGGAGAAATCTGCATTGAAACGTGTGTGCTGTCTTGCTGCAGTGGCCATGTGCTATGAGGCAGCAGTTAGAGAGATGGAGAGGTGCCAAGTGCCCACAGCCCTGCACTGCAGCAGGGTGCACAGGGGACCACCAGTTTTGCTGGTCAGCTCCAAGTCTATGAGCCCAGGAGGAGTTTGGTCACCTGTGATGAAAAAAAACCCTCCAAGACCCTTCAAGGCATCAGGAGCAGCCCCTGCAGCCCCATCCTTGGCTCCAGACCAGGTCTGGAGATGCCGCAGGGGCTGCACGCCGTGACGCTCTTTGGGKCACCGAGCCCAGAGAGAAACCACCGTCTTCCTGGTTGGGTCGCTGCTGCAGGGGAAGTGCAGCACAGGCTGCCGAGATCACATAGGCTGTGGTTTGTGCACCTGCAGGCGAGGCTTTGATCTGCCGATSAGCCCCTGCAAGGGAATAACGGGCTCTGGGTGAACAGCCTGAGAGCTGGGGGGCTCTGAACGCCTGGGCTGCCCTGTCTGCTCTCAGAGGAGTGAAACGTCCCAGCTCCCTGCTCCTGACCACAGCACCCACAGACAGACTGTCCAGGAAAGGATGGACAAACTGCAATTCACAGCTTTGGCCATGGCAAAGGGGCCTTTCACCACTGCTGCTCCCAGCAGAGCAGGGATGTGGCGGGACCAGGGGTTGGTTCATTCCCTTCCTGCCACATCCCAGGCACAATCCTAGTTCTACGGTCCCCACGGTACAAGGAYAACTGGACACATGCACCTTGAGCTACCCAGACAAGATGTTCGAGACCCAAGATGTTCAAAACTACCGGACTCCACACTGGAGTGCAGGGGGTGACACAGCCACTTCCCCCCGTCACGATCCACCCCGTCCCACAGCGGTGGGTCCTGTGACGATGCCCCAGCACCACAACYGTGACATCCGCAGCAGAGCCGTCCCTCATATATGGTCATGAATGGTGCTGGAGATGTTCATTGGAGGGCTGGGCTGTATCAGATGGGAGATGGCTCCTGATAAATGACTGAAAAGGTGCTTGCTGCTTCAATTGGCTTACCCAGGAGCTGGCCCAGCATATGCAGATATATATTGGACCCCTGTCTTTGCTGTTCCGCACAAGTCCCCGGGATCTGTGGCAGAGACAGGGTGCAGCAGAGCAGGATCCGTGCTGTCAGGAYAGGAGGCTGCAGATGGAGGCAGAGAGACTCCTCATCCCTTGGTTGCTGGGGCTGCTTTTCTGGGTGCATCTCTGCATGGGTAAGTGCATCTCTCCTTCCTTGTCCCACAGCCCTGGGGCCAACAGGCACCAGAGAGGATATGGGCATCCCTGCGGAAACAGGGGTCCCTCGCACAGCCCCATGCTGCAAGGGGCACAAGGTGCTCAAGTCCACCCACCCAGATGGTGCCCCTACAGATGGGAGGAGGGTCTTTGTTCTCCCCAGGGCTCCTGTGCTTATTGGGTGTGTTTAGAGACACCCCATCCTTGGGGATGCAACGCCCCATTCCCAAGCACTGYGTCGTGTCCCTGGGGCTGGGAGCAAGTCAGCTCATGACTGCAGCTCTCAGTGATCCCCAGGGCACACCCAACCCCCAGGGTGTCTCCAGGAGGGTTTCTGCGGCGTGGTCTCTTCTAACTCATCCTGTGTCTGTGTTTGAAGGTGCTATGGAGGTGAGGCTGTGGGGTGCAGGCAGGCGCTGTGCCGGGAGAGTGGAGGTGAAGCACGAGGGCCAGTGGGGCACGGTGTGCAGTTACGGCTGGGACATCAAAGGTGCTACGGTAGTCTGCAGGCAGCTGGGCTGCGGATCAGCACTCCGGGTCTTCTGGAACGCCGATTTTGGGCGAGGATCTGGCCCCATTTGGCTGAGCGCTGTCAACTGTCAAGGCACCGAGACTGACCTCTCCGAGTGCAGTCATGAGGAGTGGGGCAAGCACTACTGCGGTCACGGCTGGGACTCTGGAGTGGTTTGTTCAAGTAAGGAGTCAGACGGTTCTTCACCTTTGAGTTCGGGGCTGGGATGAGGGCCACCAGGCTGAACCCTGCAGGAGATACGTGTGTGGACCAGCACAGGCCCCGCTGTGGCTATTCCTCCTGCCAAGCTGGGTCTGCTGCTGATGTCCTTGGGGAAAGCCTTGGGTGATCCCACCACGGGGTGCACAGACCCCATTGGGTCTCAAGGGTTCAGTCACCCTCAGGTGATGCCTCCRGAGATGAATCCCCTGCATGGTCCCACAGGGTCTCTTGGTCTCCATCAGTCTCCTGTTCTGCCAGGATCCATCAGGCAGTGCTGAGGGTCCCCATGCCCTGGAAACCAGGGACAACTTGCTCAGCACCGCACAGCTGGGCAACAGCATGGGATGGYTGGGGCCCTTCAGGCTCCTCACAGACAACTGCAGGGTCTTCTCAGTGGGGAGAAGGTTGGGTGGACCTGAAGGCCTTGTTCCATCAACACCCCATGACAGCTGCTGCCACAGAGATGTTCACAAGGCCTTTTGGATATGGTTGCCTCAAAAAGCATGGGGGTGCAGGCGTGTAACTGCTGGAAGCCTGTGGCAATCCTCTCATTGGTGTTTTTTCCAGATTTTGTCCGACTGGATGGGGAAAGCAGTTCCTGCTCAGGACGTGTGGAGATCAGAGATAAAAACGAGTGGAAAACAGTCTGTGACTCACACCTCAGTCTCGAAACCGCTGAAGTTATCTGCAGGGATCTGCACTGCGGCACAGTCCTGTCTGTCCACGGGGGAGCTCACTTTGGAGAGGGCAACGGCTCTGTCTGGGACGAAGAGCTGCAGTGTGCAGGGAACGAGCCTTTCCTCTCGTCCTGCCGCAGGAGGTCTGTCCGCAACCACACCTGCACCCACGCGAACGATGCCGGTGTCACCTGCACACGTGAGCACTTGGGGAGCAGGCGTGAAATGCCACCCATGAGATGGGCGCTATGGGGCAGAGGGTGTGGGGAAGTGACGGTGCATGGTGTGAGTAGAGGAGTGAGGTCAGTGTTTGTAGTCCTTCTCTCCTGAAATCCTGAAGGAGATGGGATTACATCTCTGTGGCATTTCCCTCTTCGCTGATGGATGAGCAAAAGCCCAACGGGATCTTCTAATTGTCCTCTCTCACCTTTGCAATATATCCAGGGTTCAGGTTGGTGAATGGCAGCACGGTGTGCTCAGGACGAGTAGAGATGCAGGTGCAGGGGACTTGGGGATCCCTCTGTGACTCTCGCTGGGACATCTCCGACGCKCATGTTCTCTGTCATCAACTCAACTGTGGGTTTGCTGAGTCCATTCCTGCAGGAGGGCACTTTGGCAGAGGGACTGGCCCTGTCTGGAGAGACACTTTCCACTGCGATGGGACTGAGACCACTCTGGAAGACTGTGTTGTGACTGCTCTGGGGGTGTCCCCATGCTCACCTGACAACAATGCTGGTGTTTTTTGCTCAGGTAAGTGCAGGAAAAATGCCAGATTAGCTAAATTTACCACTTGTACAAGACACAGCAGCCCAAAGCCTGGGTGTACCCAGGAGGAACAATCTCAGGGGATAAACTTCACAGCAAGGCTGGGATTTGCCCTGGCTTCTTGCAGCATTAACCCCAAACTCATGCTGTCTTTTCAGGAAGATCCCTCTCACTCTGCTTCCAAAGACACAAGCTGCCAGCCCCTGATCCATCGGCATGGASAGGGACATTTGGCCTTTCCCCCAAGTATCTCAGCAGGTCCAAATGCCATTGCAGGGAGCTAGACTCGTGATGATCCTGTCCATGGCCCAGACCACTGCATAGGTCACCAGTCCCTCCTGCTGAGCTGCTCCTTGTGGGCTATGTAGGACATCACAGGCTCTGCGATTTGCCTTGACCTCCCATGCTTTCCCATCTCTGTGCTTTTCTAGACTCACATATAGCTAACTGATCAAGGTTTAGTGATTAAAGAAAGAAGAAATCACTCACAAAACTCCCATTCTTGAGCTCCTCACCATGTTGGGTACAGACGGGTGAGCTCCAGGGGGTTCAAGCGTATCAGAAATGGAAGACGCACATCAGGGTGCAGGACCCCTTTGTCACAGTTGGTCGAGGGCACTTCTTCTCTCTCCGTCCAGGGCCCTCAGGATCTCTGCGCCTGGTGGACACCGACAGCCGGTGTGAGGGCCGAGTGGAGATGCCCCTGAATGGGACATGGGTCCGAGTCCTGGATGACCAGTGGGACATGAACGACGCCAGCGTGGTGTGCCGGCAGCTCCAGTGCGGAGAGGCAGAGSAAGCCTACAACSYRCCARAGMCYGAGCGAGGGACRGGCCCCGTGGGGTTGAGMAGGGTCCAGTGTACAGGGAAGGAGACTCACCTGACCTTCTGCAACACCTCCCTGCCTGYGGCAGTGCCTRCAGGAATCGCTGAGGACGTGGGGGTGGTTTGCTCGSGTGAGTTGCTCTRACGGTCCCCAATGTGCTGTGCTCTCCAGCWCTGCGAGCCCCTGACAGCCGGGTTTCTCCTGGGTGCAGGTAGTCGGCAGCTCCGCCTGGTGCACAGGRCAGGTCGCTGTGCTGGGAGAGTGGAGATCTACTACAACGGCACCTGGGGGACCGTCTGTGACGACTCCTGGGACCTGCTGGACGCCACCGTTGTTTGCCGCCAGCTGGGCTGCGGGGTGGCTGTGAATTTCACAGGCTCTGCTCATTACGGAGAAGGCTCTGGGCAGATCTGGCTGGACGACGTGAACTGCTCCGGGGATGAAGCTGCTCTCTGGGACTGCCCGGCCRGGCCCTGGGGGCAGCACAACTGCAGGCATGGAAAGGACGCAGGAGTCGTCTGCTCAGGTCTGTGCTGGGAAAGGGAGTTGTAAGCTGGTGCCTGGGGAGGTAGAGAAAGAGCTGGGTATGGCCAATGTTGCCCCAAGCCCCTTTCCTGCCCCTGTTCAACTCCGCTGTCCCCAAGAGACCTACTGAGCGTTATGGGGAGAGCACAACCGTGTTTTCCCCCCGACTTTGTGTTCTTCTTTCCAGACTTCGTGTCCCTACGGCTGGAGAACAGCAGCRGCTGCTCCGGGCGCCTGCAGGTTTTCTACAACGGGACATGGGGGAGTGTTTGCTCCAACTCGATGACTATAAACACCGCATCCCTAGTGTGCAGACAGCTGGGCTGCGGAGAAGGAGGGTCCATAGAAACAGTCCAGCAAGAGGGYAATATATCTGGCCCCGCATGGCTGGATTATGTTGAGTGTGGGAGGAAGAACAGCTCCTTTTGGCAGTGCCCCTCTTCTCCCTGGAATCCACAGTCATGTAGCAAACAAAGAGAAGAGACCAACATCACCTGCAATGGTAAGTGCCATGCAGACACAAAGGTCCACGCCGAGTCTTGCTCCCTGTTCAGCAGGATGCAGKGCAGAGAAAGAGCTTGGAGTGGCTTTCCATAACCATTTCTGACCCTTCTGCTAGTATTGATCCTAACAGAGCTTCAGCTCTTGGAGTGACATGGGTCCATCATCAATAGCTGTCCTGAGCTCCCCGYATGCCCAAGGAGGGGCAGAGGCACCTGCACACAGGCCCTCCTTCCCCTCACTTTGGACACCCCTTGGAGGAGCCTATTGCTCCCCATTTTCAATAGAGAGCACCAGGATGACCAGCTTTTAGTTTGGAAAGCTTGGGCAGAGCATCCTGCTCATGGTTGTGGTTTGCTGAGGGAATGGGAAAACAGGGAAGGGTGAAAGCAGTCCTAGTGGCTGCGKATTATGTGGCAAACAGACCCTGGGGACTACCAGCCCAGGAGCTTGGTAAAGCCTTCTGGAAGCACCYCTCTGCTCCTCTAAACACTGATGCTTTGAGATTGGGTCTTCAGGACAGCGCTGGTACACATTGAATTAACAGGGGTTTCAGCTGCTGTCATGACCAAGGAGACTTATGTTTGTGGGACTTCTGCAGCTCCCTGGGTTCATCCCCTGGGCTGCCAGAGAGGGCACCTGGGTGCTGTCACAGGGACCCAGAGAAGGGCAGTTCATAAGGAACTTGTAGGGCACATTCACAGATATCTCTGTTCCTCTCTACACTGCAGTTCCACCAAGGACGACAAGGTCACCCCCTCGAGCAGGTAAGCTCTCCTTCTCTTCCTTTGGGTATGATGTCCCCAGGCCAGGCTGTGACCTGCAGCCCATGGCAAGGGGCTCTGTGCTGGGGGGTGAAGCCCCAGAGAAGAGGTCCCTGGGGTGGGAATAAGTTGCTTTGGGGAGAGCTGTGATGCCCCATGACCCATCCCAACACCACGTTGCAGTGGGTTAGAGAGGGGTCTGCACTGGGATGTCCTTGGTCCCCACTCCCCCAGGCCAGGAGCTGCCTTATCCGTGTCCCTGCCTGTGCAGATTGTCCGTTGGGCTACAAGAATGTCAGCAGGGGAGTCTCAGTGCCTGTTGTCATCTGCATCATCCTCGCGGTCACACTGTGCCTGGTCCTGGCCCTCCTGGCAGGGCAAGTGCGAAGTGCCCGGGCTCAGCGCAGAGGTGGGTCCTTCCCCATCGGTGCCAGGGTGGACGATGCTTCTCGGCAGCTCCATGGGGGCTGTGAGGGCACAGAGGGGGCTGGGATGGGGGTGCTGCCTCCTGCCCTATTCCCTGTCCCTTCACTGTCTGTCTGTGGGACGTCAGCAAGCAGGGCGGGTGGCACTGCTGGCGCAGGAGGAGATGGTGATGGGGGAGAAGAGAAACGGCAGCAAGGGGCTGGGGAAGATGGGAGCAGCGGGGCAYGTCCAAGSACTGCTGGCTGTGCTCTGGACAGCCCTTGGGGGAGGTTKTGGGGCAGGAGTGGAGCCGGGAAGAGTTCAGGGCAGAGGGTCTGTCAGAGTGGGAGCCAGTCCCTGGGCTGCTGCCTCTCTCCTGCCCTGTTCACCCATGTCAGGGCAGGGCCATGTTATAGACCTGTCTGGTAAAGAGTGAGGAGCTCCCTGGTGGAGGAGCGAGGGGAGCTGCTTCCCATCAAAGGGAGACTGGGAACTGTCTCTGAAGAGACAGCATGAGGTGACATATCCCCAGTCTATCTCTGCAGGGCCGTTGCTGTCACTGGAGATCTGGCCTTAGTGCCTGGCAGAGCAGTGGGTCTGGGCTGTGGGGTCAGTGCTGGTGTGGGCTTGATGGAAGTGCTGGGTGCCCTCATYGAGGTTCTTCTCTTCCCTCCATGTCCCTGTGCTGATCCTGCCCATGTCCTCAGCCTCTAGGGTGTCTGTGGAGCCCTTCTCTGAGGCCGTGTACCAGGAGATCGACTACAGCCAGGCGTGGGAGAAGCAGGCGAGGTTCRGTCCTCCAGGTCAGTGTGGTTGGTTCTGGGAGGGAGCACACTGCAGGGCCCTTCCGCCCGGCCCCAATCCATGATGGGACTGTGGCAGCCCCTGGGCCAATTGACCCCTCGGTGCTGGGGTCACAGGTTCCTTCAGGAGAGCAGCCCAGTGCTGGAGTCAGGCGAGGAGCTTCCTCCCCACCAACTCTGCCCAGCCCAAGGCACAGCTCCTCCTGCCTGCCCTGATGTACCCATAGGTTGTAACTGGTGGGTGAGGGAAGGGGCTGCAATGGCAGCTCTGAAAGGCCCTTTGAGCAATGGGAGCAAGACAAGCCCTGAGTCCTCCTCCCCATGCACTCCCTGCTATGTGGGTCCTCATCCCTGGAAGCCTTGGACATGAGCAAGGTTGGTAGGGTCACCTATGTAACACCCRCTGTTCCTCTTCCCAGGCTCTTCCCAGGGGTCCCTGACCAAGATGCAGTGTGGCCTCAGTGGCAGCAAAGAGAAGGAGGAAATTCCTGGATCATCCCAAGGTAATGKAGGGTGAGGAAGAGGAAGGGTCAATCACTTCTCCCCATGTGATCAAAAGGGGTGTCACTGAGTGTCACCCTTGTGGTGGGGTTCGGGAAGTGCTGTCAGGTGTGACCCAAGAGCTGTGCTGAGTAGGCAACAACCCTTGTTGAAGATGGGTCATGTCCATCTTCTCTGAGCCTCTAGGGGCCTCGTGGGTACTTCCCAGTCTCAACCCATCCTGCCTCCAGCAAGCCCCAAGCTCTTCTCACCACCACCAGCTCCCTTCTCCTTTCAGTTGTTCCCATCCTGCCCACAGGTGACCCAGCARATGACTACGACGATGCCAGAGATGTGTCTGAGCCTGGGAAGGATCTTGTTCCTGGGCCGCAAAACTGTGAAGTGCCCAAGGAAGCGGAGGAGGGTGACGGCCTCAGGGAAGCACAAAGAGGTGAGGGGGAGATGCAGAGCTGCTGGCTGGTGGGATGTTGTTCTTCTCCTAGCAGGGAGCCTGCACTGCTGGGGGAGTGAGGGAGCCCCCAGAGCAACCAGAGCTGCCCCATCCTCTCCATTTACAGACATGGAGTATGACGATGCTGAAGAGGCATCTCCGGAGCATCCCCATGAGGACAAGAAGGCTGTGAGACCACAGCTTGGTGGAAACAGCTCCTGAACCCAGGATCAGCATCTACCACCCATGCCATGTGCTTGGGTGCAGCTGTGAGCTCCCTTCTCCCCTCAGTAAAAAGAACGAACCAGGCATTTCCTCCATTTCTCTGCTTTTACACCATGCTTTGCTATTTGTTCTTATTAAAACCATGTGGGCGTTTGACCCAGAGCTGATGTTTCCCTCCCCTGCTGTCAGGGTTTCTCTCTGAGGTTGACCAGGGAACAGCAGGCTCAGAGACAGGCTGTGTCAGTGTCCATGGTCCCTGCAGTGCCATAACACTGACTCCTCACCCCTGGATGGGCCCTATTTTCTCTCTTTCCAGAGGCTCCCTGGTCAGCCCCAGAGCGACTCCTTGCTCGAGGCTCACCTCCCAGAAGATGACAGAAGMTGACATCCTTGAGAATGCTCACAAGGGTGCATTTCCATCACATAATTCCACGTCCAAACTTAAAGCAGGTCCTTAYGGCAGTTGAGACAGGATCCTTGTGCCTAGACTGCATTTTCACTCAGTTGTGGCCCAGCTGCCTCCAGCATCCTCTCCCATGGCAGTGGTTCCACATCCTCTATATTGGTGGTTCCCCCAGCTCCAAGTCCTGTGCTGATCTTCTTTGGCAGCAGCACGTCCCAGTGCTGGGGATGTCCCAGGTCTCCTCCAGACCAGAACATGCCACGCTCTGGATAAGCCATCTCACAGTCATTCAGCACACGCCTTACCAAGCTGGTGATAAAGAGAAGGACATTCGAGCAGCATCTCCCTCCTCAAATATATCACAGCCTTGACCCAGAAGAGGTGGGCACTGCCTTAATGTGAAGCCAGGAGGCATCTGGGGCTGCAACAGAGGTTTGAGGACATGGAGATCCTATCGTGGGACATCCCTGAGCTCAAAGCCTGGGGATACAAGGAGATGCTGCAGGAAGAAGTTGGAGACAATGTCAAGTCTCCCAGAGCGAAATCCCCGTTGAGCTGAGGGACAGTCCATGGATTCATTTGCAGAACCGGCACCTTCAGCAGCTTTTCCAGTGCCCAGCAGGGGCTGCAGGACCCCTGAGCAGGGACTGAGAGCAGGAGGCCACATGATGTGCAGCCACTATGGCGCAGTTGCTGGACAATGCAGGGCCAAGGGSCCTCCCCACCCATGACCTACAGCCAATGAGGTCCTGTTGCTGGGTGGCCAGGGAGCATGAAGCCATGTGACCTGCAGGCAATGAGGTGCCATTGGTGGGYGATACAAGGTCAGAGACCATGAGGTCATATGACCTGCAGCCAATGGAAAGCCGTTAGTAGGAGATGTGGGGCCAGGGAGTATGAGGCCGGTTGACCTGTGGCCAGTARGATGTTTTGCGTCCCTCTGTCTCCACACACTTGTGCCTTCTCACCACTGATCACCTTGCGCATCACCTTCTGCATGCCCCATGTTGTGCTTTGTTAGGATGCACAGGTGGGATGTGCATGGACATGGGTGTCTTCTGCTGTGAACAAGTTTGGGATCACATGTAATGACTGCCGGTAGATCCATCACCAGTACCAGGTTGGTCGCTCCACCCGGGATGAGCAGAACTGCCCATTACCTGGCATTTCTAGGTCTTAATGCTCTAGGTGAGCATTTGGAACAGCTGTCCATCCCCTTTGTTAAGAGGTCTGCTGCTACAAAGGTGAAGACACCAAGAGCACTAGCAGGAGCTCCCACATGAGCATGTCTTCATYGATCATGGAGGTGCCATGCAGGAGTGGCCAAACATCAGGGCTAGGCACTGTCCAGGAGCTGCTTTTGGGCTCGCTCATGTTGCTCTTGTGTCTTTGGCATAGCCACCAGTCTTAGTGCCCTCTTCTCCAGTACCATACCAGCATCTTCTCCAAGTGCTAAAGAGTTGAAGGAGGCACGTTGAAGGAGGAGGACCAGGGAGAAGGCAGAAGAATTACGCAGCCCTAGCTCAGGCCATAAGTGATTGGCTCTTCTTTTGGTGAAGTTTCAAGTGTGATGATGTGATGTGATGTGATGTGATGTGATGTGATGTGATGTGATGGGACGTGACGTGACGTGACGTGACGTGACGTGACGTGACGTGACGTGACGTGACGTGACGTGACGTGACGTGATAGAGGCCACTTACAACTCTGTCCACGACAAGGTGATTCCATGGGCAGCTAATCAGCCTGGGGCTGAGTCAGGTGGGGCCAAGAGCAAAAGGGAGAGACAAACATCGGATCCTTTTGTCCTCAGGCAGGAATTCTGCATCCCATGTGGAAATCTGCTCCTGGTAGCCAACAAGTGCCCATTGGATTTCAGGACCATGTAGTTCAAGTCCAGTCTCCTGAAATTTCTTCTGCCTCAGAAGGAGTGTCAGAGGAAGAACTTCTTGCTCCTCGTTCTGCCATCACAAGAAGGATGGACACAGGAGAGGGGAAGACATCTTCCCACTTCGGCCAGCGGAATGGCTCCTGCTTTTCCTGCTTTTTTCTGTTTCTGTCAGCAACATACTTAAGTGTTTCCCAGTGGGATTTAAACAGGTTTGTGTCTGTTGCTTCTCATGCTATGACTGACCACCACTGAAAAGAGTCTGCCCTCATCCTCTTCACACAGCCCCTTCAGATACTTAAACAGTAGCTCCTGCTCCACAGAGTCACCTAGAGAAGATGGCCGAGAACTGAGTTTCTTGGGTTACTTTTGAAAATATTCAAGAATGGAGCCACCACCACCTTTCTGGGCAGCATGCTCCAGTGTTCATTCAGCTTGGTGTCCACCTGGACCTCCAGGTCCTTCTCTGCAGAGCTGTGCCCAACAGGTGCCTGCCAGCCTGGCCTGGTATCTGTGGTTATCCTTCCCCACAGCGAAGGATAGGGCTGGACTTGAGTCTTCAGCAAGGCTTGGTCAAGCCTATTTCCTCCACAGTTTGTACCACAACTCCCATGTCATATCTCAGARGCCTGCTGAGATGTCTCCTTTCAGAGCACTTCTTTTCACAAGACAAACCCCCTGCTTGTGGCCTTTTCCTCCAGTAAGACTACGGGAGGAGGATGCAGTTTGGAGATATCTCTGTTCACCATCATTGACCATTCCCAATTCCAAGCCAGTTTTGGAGAGCCAATGGGCTTTTGCCCTTCTCAGTGCTCCCGCCTAGCTCCCTGGATGCCCTCCTGGGCTATGGTCTCATTGAGTTGCAGCARACACTGCCTGCACCAACATCTTCCACTTCAATCTTGCCTCCAGCTCCACCACCAACCTCTAATCTTTGGGGGACACAAGGGCAGTGTCCTATGTGATGCAAACTACCCAGGGCTTCCTAAGTGCCATTTTGATTGCACATAGACTTTCACATGGATGGCATCTTTGCATCTCAGCACCACGCTCTGCCCATGTGGAGCCTTCCTCTATCTTGTCCCCATGGTTGGTCTTGGTGGTGGCTACCCTGAATCTTCGTTGTGCCTCTCCATGAAGCATCTCATCCATGGCATGAGGAAGGAAGAAGTTCCAGGATGCCCTGAGGAGACTCAGTGACTTCAGCAATAGGCTGTCCCTCTCTGAAGTCTCTGAGTTTATCTAATGTCAACCCTGGACTCAGTTTCTGTCATCCACGATCCTCATGCTCTCACCCATATGTGAGTTCCTCCCCGTGCCCCAGAGAAGTGAGTCCCATATGAGCAACCTCTGGGCCTTATGCAAATGTGTCATCAGTACGTCAGAGGTAGCCTCCAGAATAGCAGCACATCCTTAATGAAGCTTGATGGCCTCACTGCTTCATCCAGAGGTTGGTCATGCTCCCTGGGGTGGCACCTGTTGGAGTGAGGACTCTCTTGCTGCTAGAGCTCTGCTCCATCAGAGGCAGAAGTGGGACCAAAAAAAAAAAAAAAATGTGTGGCCAAAGTAGCTCAGCTGGGAGAGTGTTAGACTGAAGATCTAAAGCTCCCTGGGTCAAGCCTGGGCCTCGGCAGGCACCCAAGAAGATTTTGTGAACCAGAGTGTTTAGGCCACCAGGAAGATGTTGCAGGGTCACTGAGCTACCAAGCCAAGGCAATCTCATGGGGGGCACAGCTGGTGGAGGGCCCCTGTCCTTGTGGAGGGGAACATGGACCCARCGGAGCTCAGGTGATGTGCAGGGACACGGAAGGCCTGGGACTGGGCCATGAGTGGAGCCTCAGGAKGTGAGGACGTGTCTCATGTGGAGACCCCCRGYAGTTTAGCACCATCTGCAGGTGTTAAGGCCCCAAAGGCAGGAGGGTGTCAGGAGGGCTGTGACCCCCTGACAGGAGCTGCCATCCCCCTGTGTCTGAAGGAGAAGAGCAGAGCAGGGCTGTGGGTGGTCATCAGGGCCAGTTCCAGCTCAGTGATGGCCAARGAGGGAGTTCATGGGTCTGAAGGACGTCCTGCTCCTCTGCCTCTGCTCATGCACAGCTGGCATGGGGAAAAGACTCAGACAGCAGGTCTGAGGTAGCTCAGCTGGGAGAAYRTTTCACTGAAGATCTACATGTCCCTGGGTGAAGTCCAGRCCTTGGCACATTAGCATCCTTGTCAATGACATCTTCCTTGGTTCCTCYTGGCCTTGTGCAGAGCTGCTTTGTCTTCTTCCAGCCTGTCCCAATGCAGGCTGTRTCCCAYCSCACAGCYGTGTAGAACAATGGGATCCTGGCCAGCATCAGGAGGAGTGTKGCCAGCAGGTSAAGGGAGGTGATTAGGAGCATGTTTTGGGTGGGTGTTTTGCAAGTGTGTCATCATCATGGTAAAGGCAGCCTTGAGAAGAGGAGATAAGGAAGATGTGTTAGTCTTATGTCAGGCCAAAAACGGCCTAGTGGAGGCATTCACTAGATGTGAATGGCATGTGAGCATGTTTTGGGTGGGTCTTTTGCACRTGTGTCATAAGTAGGTTAAAGGTGGCTTCGGGAAGAGGACATCTGTAATGAAAGGTGATGTTGTGAGTGCAGCCTGCAGAGGTTTGTGATGTGGTGTGTCCAGCATGAGGTCCCTGGGGTGGCCGCTGTTGACCTGAGGACTCTCTTGCTGTTCAAG